CCCCCCCAACTAGAGCTGGGCAATGAGTCGCTTTAGCGAAATCCGGATAATATGTTAGTGCACCTCTTCGGCAAATAAAATGATAGGACCGCTTCTGCAAATGGGTTAGAACCACTTCGACAAACGGGTTAGCATCACTTCAACGAATGAGTACTCCCACTTCGGCAAACGGGTCAGGAAAAGTGAGTTAAGAGTCTGAATTCGGACAATGTTTCATTGCTAATTATCCGGTTATTCGGATAGATTATCCGGATTTTGCCCACCTCTACCCCCCACCCCCAGCCCAGCCACAGAGGTATTCAAGGAGCTTGTGATAATTTTGAGTCTGACCTATGTGTCACGATGTGGCAGACTCAGCTGCCCGTCAGTTTTGGGGCATATGAAGTTATTAATATCGTCTTTAAGCTTGTTTTTTTTGTGGTCTTGCGTTTGATTAACAAAAATGCTCGTCTATCACGAACAGAAGTCGAGATTTTTATGGTTGAAAGAGGTGGGGGTCGTCTGGTGTCAGAGGAAAAAACAGTGAGAAAATGGCCCTGTGAGAGTTTGGTGACCTCCAGATCTTGAGAGTCTTTCGCAACTGCTAATTTGCATATTTTGTGCCTTTGGTCAACGTTTTTCTTAAAATTCCACACAGAAATGTGTTTCTAATTGGCATAAAAGAAGCTGAGCCCCCAAAAAGGTCATCGACACAAATTGCCCAACGGATGGAAAACTGTCATTTTCTTCGAGTTTGTTCTTTTGACGAGCGCCTGATATTACCACGGTGGCACGTACCTATATAATATACACATAAGCCAATTTTATCTACTCTCAACCACTTCACTTCCAAGCTGGCTCTCTCTACTTTAATGTTCAACCTAAGCACCCAAAACAGTCTTGGGCCAGGCAATGAAGGGGTTAACAGCACAGCATTAACCATCACAACCCACACATGAGCACCTGTGTATGTTCTTGTCTTTTCTGATGTTTGAAAAACGGCGAACCACCTGTTACTTCTTTTGTTTATCTTTGACTTCAGCTTCCCGGTGATTGTTCAAACCTTCATAAAACATCTAGTGAGTTTCTTCTTCTTCTTTTTTGTGGTTGCATAAAGTTAATAGTATATCATGGAATCTATTACCTCACGGTTGTCTGTTTTCCGATATGATACGAAGTAACTCTCTCTTTCAAGGTCCTTAAAGGATCGGAATATTGGAGTCCGTAGTGGCCGAGTTAGTTTTTGACGCTCATCTTAACGTTTAAACGTGTTTATTTTCACGTTACGCACACAGTGGAACATAGAAAAATAGAATATAGTGACATTATGCTGTTGCGAGCGCCGTAAAACCTCTACTAAAAAAAAACCATAGTGACATTGCCAATGAATGCTGAACCCCCCC